CGTTTACAGATCGAAAATCGAACCATTGGTTCAGACGTTATCGGTAAAGTAAATTTTAGTTATTTTGGTGCTGCCACGTGGTGGCTACAAATTGTACTAGTGTCGGGACATTTAGCCTTAAGCCTTTTAGTGCTTTTAGCCAAGCAGGCGTACCCCCATTGCATCTCTTTAGATTTTCCTCGTAAGAGCAATGAAGAGCTCGCCCAGGTATCAGTGCTTACACGTCCTTCATTTACTGAAACGGATTCCGAAGATGCTGCCGCGTTCACATGTGTTCGAGGTTTACTCTCGACATATATTTTTATTGCTCACGAATATAAAGAACTAAATTGGTTTCTCCTTCCCCGTTCCAAAACCCACGCCGGGACGCAATCGGGTTATGCCTTGTAGCAGTAGCGGCTGGTGCCGCAACAAACTGATGGTTGCAGCTCCATCGAATGACTGAAATAACTTCCAAACTTAAGAACATTAACTAAACGTAAGTAGCGTTATATAATGTAACATAATATAAATAATTCATGGCAATTAATTAAAGCTAAGTTTAACAAAAGTCTCTATTTAAACTTTACTTACATAATTGATGTGCCCGGGTCCGGTATGATCGTCTCCCGCGCACGTGTTTCTGACTTCGATTTTCAGTAGGCACTCGAGTTTTTGTGTTAGTTCTTCACTGGCACATTTGCGGGTAATAAAATTGACATTAAACCAAAACGAATTAGGCTTCGAAAATACGGTGATCGCACTCTAGCACTATGCAACAAGCACTTTTGTTTGGACACGCTTTACACTAGTTCATTTCATGATCTTGCTGCTACTAGTGATAAAATAAAATTCCATAATTTCGAAAATTTCAATACCTCGGTACATATTGCTATTATGAAAGATCTTTCACATACACACACAACGACGCACGCAAAATAACTCAGAATAATTGCACAAACATCTTAAATAAAGAATTCAATATCAAGGTTTCATTGCAATTTAGTACTTTCAATAATATGCGAAATTTAAAAAAATAAATTAAGTTGCATCTATTTTCAGACAGAAAATTGGTATTCCCCTCGCACGCTGCGCCGGCGCGCCGCGCTCTGCGGCTATCCCCCCCCCATCTTGTTTAGTGCTGTAAGTCGGTTGCTCGTTGCGGTGCAGAAACTACGAGGGCCATATGCTGAAGCATAGAGATGCGTGGCCGAAGAGTAAACGCAGTAAAAGACTTACGGAATGTAACATGGAGCACTGCTCGGGAGCGCACGAGACACCGGAGAGCGCGCTTGAGAGGCCTCCGATTTGAAAACGATTTCAGAAACATTGATATTGCTGCATTCCTAAGCTCTGAAGAAGGCCACAGCACGATGGCCGAAACGTCAGTACAGTTGACCGAGACGCGGCTTATCCCGGATAGCCAAGAATGTATTGACTCCGGCCGCGGAAGCCTACGAACGCATTGATATTGCTGCAATATCGTGAATATTAATGCCATTAAATGGAAAATGAATATTCCCAACATACTGTATACGCTTTTTTTTATGATCTTCCAGTATTGCAATCTAAGCACGATGTGCAACTGATTCTCAAGCGATCAAAAATGAAATGGGATTAACTGGGAAGCGGGTGTGGGGGAAACCTGATCGCGGAATTCAATTGGGCGATTCCCATTGCAGTAATCCTCCAGTCCGGTAAAACTGAAATAGGATTTGACCCTGCCCCTCATGTGCAGAACATCTGTCACCAGACCAACATTAAAACTGGCAGCTACTAGATGCGGGATAGGAGGAGGTTGCATCATAGTCTGCTTCCTAATACCTTCGAACGTCGAAGAGGCTGAAAGTGGCCGCGTTCTGCCGTTAGTCCAGATTCCAGTCTCTTTGGTTGATTGATTAGTGATTCCGGCTGCTACAACTATTAAGGTCATTATGCCCGTAAGTGTAGTGCGTGGTTTTCCTTGGGAGGTGGCGGTGATTCCCCCCGTTGGATGGTGAGATCCGGCGCCGTCCTACCGTTGGCTAATAGTAGGTCAGTGTCTAAAACCCTGCCACTGTCGGAACTCGAACCGAGGATCTCCCAGTCAGAGACACTGCAGTGGCATCAGTTGATACCCTGAGCCAATCTTGGGTCCTTGCGGAAGGGGAAGAGAAGGTGAACATTGCCGAAAACCTAGGTGTCGAGCCGTTATTGCCTTTGGTGCCTCAAATTGGCGCAGGAGGCACAGTAAGAGAAATCACAGTCGTCTTGTCTGAGCATTCGATGTTTTAGGCGTTGGTGGTTTCTGAAAGAGGCACAATTGTTTGCGCCGACTTCCAATGAGATGTTACTTCTCAACAATCACGCTGTGTTTAGAAGTGACTATCTGCTTTTAAGACTTTCCGCAGTATAGCTCAGAAGAAGGCCACAGCAAGATACATTGACTCCGGCTGCGGAAGCCTACGAACGCAAGTTGGGAGAAATCTAGGACTAGTTTTCAATGTTAGATACGCTAAATTATTCTGAACTCAAGTCTGGCTAAGATGATTCAGGTCATCAATGTCACTGTAGTGCCTCTGAGCCGGAGGTCCTTTGGGTTCGATTTCCGACGGTAGCAGTTTTCGATACTAGCTACATAGCTAGGTGGAGTTCAGCCGTTCGTTGTCTGGAGGAGATTTCTAGCGGCCGGCTGTTCTGATCTGTAGTTTTCCGTGGTTTCTCATCACCAGGCGTATGCCGGAACTGTAACCTAACAAACGGGCCAGGGATCGCGCACGATTCTTTCCTTCCTCTTCATTGTCCTATCCTCACCCCCTTACTTAGTTACATGCACTACACTACACAACATACCGGGAGGCACGTGGGGAGGTTAGAGCTTGACAAGGAGCGAAGCTCCGCTGGTGGGAGATATCTGATTGGGGAAAACCAGCAAGCCGCCGGGTAGGTTGGCGCTAGATCTCGCCACCCGGCGGGAGAACATTACCGCCACCTCCCCCCCCCCAAAAAAAAACACATTACACTTGCCTTACTAGTGACCTTAGCAGTTGACGCGCCCCAAATCACCCAATCAGAACGGGTATGAGGTTATTAGAGCAGCTACGACGAGTAGAAAAAACTGCCACTCTCATCGGCTTGTGACATTTCAGAAGGGAATTCAAGTGTTCCAGAGACCCCTACATTCATTGAACTTTACAAGTCAAAGTCCTCCATGTAATAATGATAGTAGCAACCTCAACACTGCAACAAACACACACACACACAAAGGCAATCTGCAATACATGATGCATTGCTGATGGTCTTGCACCATCACATGATATAATATTATAATGGTGGAGAGATATGCTTTGGTTGATATTTTTTTCTAAAAAGTTGAACATTTTTCTATTAAAATAGTACATTACAGAACTAGTTTATAATGTTAGACTTGATTGCACAAGTACACATTTTGAAAACAAGTGACATAAGACAAATTTTCATATTTGTAAGAAATCTATAAATCAACATTCTAGGAGAGTTGCTATGTTCTGTAATCTGTATAATAAATTGATTAAAAATTGGATTTAAATTAATTTTGGAAACTAATTTCAAAAGCTTTGTTGTTTGCAACATGCTTGTCTGTATTACATGTCACACGTATTTGACATTGTGCAAAAACCAGTTATTGGGTTTTGTGGTTAAATGTCACCTCCCATCATTAGCTCACTATTTTGCATGTAGGATTCCAGGTGTAGACTTCTAAAACTTGCCCAGACTTCATGAAATCTTCACTTAACAATATTTTGAATGAAATACATAAATCTTGATCTCGTTGCTTGCAAGTAACTATTAGTTTTTTTCCACCATGAAGGAAAAACTTTCATAAAACTTCTAAATGTTCCCCAGATCTTGAGTTGATAATGAATCAAAAGCAACATTTTAGGTCATGAAGGGGAGGTGCTATGATACTTGAACAATTTTATCCCAATTCCAGAATTATATATTAAGATGTTGCAAAGGTCATTTTTCTATTTCTCAACACTGAAGTTTCCAAATCAACCTCAGATGCAATGCTTTTTAATGCACTGCAGTAAGTGTTGTTCTCATTTCAAAGTTAAAGTAAAGGAGGTAAATTCCTCACTCTTTCCTGAGGGGCTGATCACAGTAGTGGCTTGCCTTGGCCCACCGCCTTGTAAAGGATGGTAGGACAATCATGAAAACCATAAAAACCTGTAAGTCACTCTCTTACATTTTTGCATTTTGTGAGAAAATAGAAGCTGCAGGATAGTTGCATTGGTCCATGTGTAAATCTCAAATCAGATGAACAGAATGGCCGTGAGCACACTTCAAAGTTTTCGTTTGGTTTTGAAACACTGTCAATCATTGACTTGTGGGGTATGCATGACTGTGTATGTTTGTTTGTATGTATGCATGTATACAGTGTGTGTCACTAGGATATCACTGACAGAGAAATTGGTTAACAAAAGTGTTCAATACACAAATTTTCCAATGTACAATCATAGAAACGCACATTTGAAGCAACTACTTCTGTCATATGAATCATGTTTGATGTAGATGCACTTTGTCAATTCACTTAATATTGTAATAAATTTGTCAAATTAGAAAACTGAACATGTAATATGTATATATTTACAGGTTTAAGTAAAATATTCCTGATTACCTTCTGAAATCCCACAAGTCAAACTTATTTATAAGTCCAACTATCGTATTATTGTTACAAGTAAATTACATGTCTCCATGGCATTCTGAATCAAGATTTATGCATCAGCAATAAAACAAGAAACATATAAGTTCAATATCTACTTTAAAAATAACCGATTCAATTATGGGTAAGATAAAAAAAAATGGTACCAATCACATCACAAATAGGTAATGAAAAGATGATGATGGACTGGAACCTGCAGACTGACTCCATGCACCAAACAATCCTCCAATCACATTCTTCCCCAATATTAGCTTCCCCATACTGAAGTTTTCGAACTTGACATAAGACTGCTTTTGATGTAGGGTTTCCTATTTATCACTAAATAAAAGAATACAAAGTTGAATATTTTTTCTATTTAAAAAGTATTTTTACATAAAAATTAACATTTGCTTAAAACAAAATACTTGTGGTGCATCAAGGCATACAGCACTGTTGATTTGTTCCGCAGGTCTCTGTTTGTACAGCATGTGCCTTCACACAAGGCCAGGTTATTGCTTAAGAATGCCCAATAAAATGTAACATTCAATAAAAAGACTTGCACTTTTTTTTTTTTTACAAACACAGTATGTCTCGTAAGCAAACACTATAATACACAAGGCATAAATTTAAAAAAATACAGAATTCTTTGTGTGCTTCAATTGAACACATTTTGAAATTAATACTTGAAGTAGATTCAATAGTAGAATGTGTGAAATGAAGCAGATAAAAGCAACACATCCAATGAACCAGTGTTGCAATGACCCCTTGCATAACACACATACAAGATATTATTCATTCATAGAAACTACTAGTTGTTTCCCTATGCATGCAGTTGCTTGCAATCTTATGAAATGTATGAATGAATTCTAACTATAATTAGGCTTCTCATATGCACTCATTGCAAAAAGTTGCCGCTCTTTCCTACTAAATAAATAAATACTATCATTCTGATTGTTCATCATCATGTGTAACATGGTTTTAAAAACATACTTTCACTTAAATGCAGTATCACAGTACAAGCAGTGTTATGAATCCTCATGAAAGTTATACAAGATTCTCATCTTAGAAATAACAACAGATGAAGATTAATAGAAATTGGCAATGTTTTTTTGAAGTAAGCACTCATAGTATTGAGGAGAGGAAAAACTAATCTTCTCCCTCTTCTACAATCATCACGAGAAATTAGTGCACTATTCATGATCTTTGTTAGAATTACAGTGTATTCAATATAACAAACAATTTTGTAGATAAATTGTTGAAAGTGAGTACTCTGTTACTCATCAGGCAAAGCATGTAAATCTGACTGACAATTATTGCTTGACAAAATGAATTTTATCAAAATAAATTATATCCAACAATTAACAACTACTTTATCAAAGGAAACATACAATGCACTAAATCATCGTTCAGAGTTGTACTTTATAGTGAAGAATTAAATCTCAAAAAGGAGACAATATTTTTATTATGGGATGTATTACTAGTAGTAAATGGTTCTGTATATTTCAAGTAAGGTTTTAAAATGTAAAATCTATAAGCAGCCTGATTTACCATCCCATAACTCTACAATGGTTATTGAAAGTAAATACAATAAATGTGAGTTAGGCATGTAAGTAGATATGTACCATGTGCTCCAGACCATATTTGTTAACTGCTGAACAAACAATCTGACTAGCAATTATTAACTGTGAAGTTTTTCTTACCATTTCCAAAGCTATCATGTATGAACTGAATCTATTTGACATGCTAATTCTTAATAGAGAAAAATAGCATTGGGATATGATTAAGAATAGCCCTGGAAAGATTCAGAATTTCTAGAAATGAGAGCTCTGCATAGCACTTTTCAAATAGAAAGATTTTTGCAATCACAATTAAGCACCTTTTACACACAAATAAATATTATATTTTTTAACTCTGAGACAATATTTTCATTATGTACAATATAAAAAGTATAAAATATGGAATTTAGTCCCAAATGCTACTTCCTTGCATCAAGAAGGTACACATACCTGATGGGTAAAGTTACTTTGCCCCTTGATTCACAAACACGCTTTAGCAACCTCATATCCCAAGCAACTTCTGTTCCAACATAGAAGGGAAGAGAAACACCCAGGGTAGCAATGATTCCAATCAATCATTGAAATCAGAAATTGCTGGCACAAGGATGTCTTCAAACAGCTCTGCCAATCACATAACATCAGATACAAGTAAAAGTATTTCAGAATCTATGGAAATCTCCTCACAACGTGTCCTCCCTCCTCACTCAGTGTCTGTTCCCTAACAGGAAATTTGTAAGCATGGAACATTTGTTTTTACTAAATATTATCAAATTATTCTGCAAGAGTTTCCAATATTTTGTATGTACCCGTGGTGGTGACTCCTCATGTAATAACAGATGTTTGTAGACTTAACTGACTTCCCATCAAATGCAGAACTGATGTATTTGTTTGAATTAATTCATTCAAAATACACAAACACAATTGCTCTCTTTGCAGTGCTAATACACAGTTCAAGAATTGTAATTATGATTTCTTGATAAACTGAAAATATTAAATAATGACAATGGAGAGAAATGCACCAAATTAAAATTTGCATAACATATCTGTGAACAAAACTGAGCCTGATCATTTACAATAATTAAAAATAGCACAAACCTCCTCTTAAAATTCTTTTTATGATTTATAACAAAATCTGTGAAACTGGCAGTGTATGCTTTAGAAATTTTCAACAAAATCAACAATATTTAACTTCTTTTTCACTTCAACTGAAATGAAACTGCGAGTAAATCAGTCACATTATACAATATACATCCAATAAATCCAGCATCTACCATGTACCATGGGTACATCAAATCTTTTGTCTCAAATACCTGTTGATAATATTTGGTTTAGTTGTGTTCCCTTTAATTGCTAGGTACAAAGATATAATTGTCAGATATTTGTTACTTTGCTGAATAATAAATCCTGAATGCAGCATTGTTGCTGCCCTGCAGAGTATGTCCTACAGACAAGGAATTAAATGAAAGATGAAGAAAACCCAAGATGTTAAAAATATGATAAAACCTTCATTGGCTTGATTCATCAAGTCCATTCAAGCACATAAACATTCAAAAGAAATATTATTATACTCGTCACATACTTGAACACCATGTTATGCTCAATATCTTCATCAAGGCAACTGCTTGGGAAACTGAACTCTGAAAATTCAGTGCTTAAAGATCCCATTCTTACTAATAAATTTCCCTTTTCCAGGAAAATGCATGGACGGTCCCTGGAATCCAAGCTTCAATTTCCTGTTTCCTGCTTTTTCTACAAATGTGCATCTCACTTTATTCCACATGCTTTCTTGACACCATGTGCAATGGTGGTAATGGAAATTACTTGAGAAGACTCTTGAAGCAGCGGGGGAAGGTATTGATCAGCAGAGAGTTATTCCATCTCTCCTAATTACTTTTTGAACTTCATTCACCGAGAACTTTGGTTCTAATATTTGGAGTCAACATCACTCCAGTTCATCATCATATGCTACTTCATCATCAGGAATTGGTAGTTGAGAATATCGTAAACCAAGAAGGCTTGCCATTTCTTCCAAAACATCTAATGCCTGACAAAAAACAAACAAAACAAACATGCAAAATTGTTCCTTAGCAATGAATTGAGAATAATTAACAACATACTTACCATATCAAGTTGCTCTCTAGTATGCGCAGCAGACAGACAAAATCGAATGCGCCCTTCCATCAATGGAGTAGCAGGAAAACCAACACCCACCGTAGCTATTTTCCTTTCCAAGAGTGTTCTTACAACAGCACTGCAAGAGGAAAACACAGTTAACAAACAACTCCAGTCTTTTAATTTCATCATAAAAACTAATACAATAACCCTCATACATCCAAAGAAAGGAAGTTTTAATTCAGATGTAACTTGTATATATAGCATTTTAATTTTTATTAATATTATTGGCACAAAGATAAACAGTGGCATACACGTAAGAAAAACAATTCCTAGCAGTGATTTTTTAAAAAGAAAAACCTTACAAATTAGTTTGAAGTGGGATGTTGAGTGTAAATTTTGAGCTTAAGTCAAAATCTAGTAGTGCTAGTCCACAAAAAACGACTGCATTGAAAACTAATTGGAAAAGAGACACTAAAGGGTGAATTGTTGGTTAGATTTTATAGTCGTATTACTAGAATTAGAGAAAAGAAAATTGCTGATTGCTGAAGTCTGTTTGTACTCAATAATTTAAAAAAAACAACTAAATAAAATATTTATAATGTTTTATAAAACAACAAAAAACATAATAGTTCAGAGAGAGATTGATACAATAGCCTTTCCAAATGATATTACCCAGTATTTTTGTTGTACACTATTGAATAAAACAATGTCAAAAATTAGCAAATTATAACATTAGAATTTCATTGAAAATATTGAAATTTATCCATTATAATTTCAATAATAAAAGAGTAATAAGGGAAATTTATCCATTATATTTCCGATAATAAAAGGGTAATTTTCCCTAGGTACACTGGGAAAATTATTACGTAATGAAGGAAAGGTTTTCTAAATGTTGAAATGGATATATTTCTTTTAGGTATCTTTATCTCACCAGTTTACTTGGTATGTCCACAAGAAAACACAATTCATTAGCAAAACTATTGTTATTGTTTTTTTAAAAAAATACAATAAAAATTATTACACATGGTGGAAGAAAAAATCCCTTTTTATTGAAACCACCAACTTTTTAGATAAGAGTTAACATTCCTAAATATTACACAAATTCATATTTTCAAAATACTGGTCCAGAACACTAACAATCCAAAGAAGAGGCCTAATACTTCAGGAAGAAATGTCGGAGGAAATTTATAATCCATTGTCATAATTTTATTAATAGAAATATTTTGGCAAGCTATTTAAGTAATTTTTCTTCTCTTATTTGAAAGATTTTAGAATCCATTTTGAATATTATTGATTAAAACAAAGAATCATTTATTATTGTTCCTGAATGGCAAAGAGAATCCACCATAAAACAGTAAAAATGAACAGGAAAAAATGAACACAGAAACCAAAATTCCTAAATTAAGATATAGTGAGGGTATCTACGCAATGTATTCCATACGGAATAACAAAAAATACGAAATTGGTTATTTATTGAAACATCACTGTATCTAATTCCAATAAGATTTTGTTGGTATACAGATGAAACTAAGTTCGAACACTGTTTTGAGATAAATAAAGTTGAAGCCGATTCTGTTTTACTTCGTTTGCTGAATCTATTTGTCTAAATTGGACTTGAAATGTGTGACAAAAACCTTTTTCTAACACTTAAATATCTAATATTCCCTTTAAGAAACAAAAAATTGGTTCAGACACTGAATTTTCCAGTGCATTTCCATATTCTGTGACTCGGTAAAAAAGGAAATAATTTAATACATTCTATCTCCAGAACTTCTTTAATTTAACTTATCAAAAGAATAGAAAAAAATTTTGACTTTGTATTTGTCTTAACAATACAAATAAGTAAAAAATGTCAAAAGCGAGTGTCACTTAGACACTATTTACTTAATTCTTATATTGGAAAACCCATTCACTGATAATATGGGCAATGAAGTCTCTCATTACTGACTGTTGAGGGTTGAGATAAAGAGATATTAAACTTAAAGAATGAGTGAGGAAGAGAATTTTCCAACACTATGAGAACCTTAGATATTTATGTCAGGTGAATACTGGAAAATTAACTATGAACTGTAATTCTACTAAGTCATTTCAAACAAACCTACTTTGCCAAATACTAAATTAGAGAGGCTACTTCACATTTTCAGAACCATTTTACAAGAATTGAAGTTCCATTAGAATTTTAAATTAACAAATTCAAACATTGCTTTATTTCAGGACACCCTTACATGTTCAAATGCAGGAATTAGAAATTTGAAATCAACTCCAATAATGGTATTTAAAAAATATATATATAATAGCAATGTAATAATATACTGAAATGAGTGCAAATTAATATGTATTCACCCAATTTTTGAGAACATGTAGACAAGAAGAGGCACTACAGGTGAATCTTCATTTCCATAGACAATTACTCCCATTTTCTTCAATCTTCTTCGAAAGTACCTGGTGTTCTGAGCTAATTGCCTGATACGCCTCTCACCTTGAAATGTAAACAAATTAAATGAAATTGGCCAAACATTAATGTGTACTTAATAAAGTTATTAGTTCTCACCTTCAAGTGATCCATCCTTGCCCATAATTATACTCATAGATGTTAAAATTTGCATTACTATTGGAGGAGACATGGAAGAAGCATAACACGCTGCATGACTATTTACTCTAAGATAGTCAATAAGATGCTGTAATAAAAGGAACATACTGTGGTTTATGAGAAGAAATTTATTACAAGTAATGAACTTTTAATGATCTTCAGTTAATACCTTAGAGCCAGCAATGTATCCACCAGCAGAACCAAAGCTTTTGGTAAAAGTTCCCATAAGAATATCAACATCTTTAGGGTTGCACCCATAATAATCAACTACACCTCTTCCTTTTTCACCCAGAGCACCAATACTGTGTGCTTCATCAAGATACACATAAGCCTGAAGGTAAAAGAAAGACAATAATGTAAGATGTACTCTTCTCATTTTACAGTAGTTTCCTTTGAACAATTGATTTACAGTTCATCATCTTAAGAAAAATAATATTAGAAACAACAATATTAAAGAATGCTTATTCAAAAAATAAAGTTGAATTTTGACCTTGTATTTCTTTTTAAGTTCTAAAACTTCAGGAAGTTTTACGATTGATCCCTCCATGCTGTACACTCCTTCCACTACTATAAGGATTTTTCTCCAAGGTCTCCGAGTCTTTGGCTGCCCTTTAACAATGGCATCTTTCAAATGTTTCTCCAGATCTTTCATATCTAGACAAAAATAAATTTGACATTAAAATACATTATAGAATGTCCCATAATTTTGTTCATCATATTTTTCTATCTTACTTTCCTGAAACTTATTTAAAAGTGATGAAATATGTCACACATTTAATGAAAACTTTACACTTACTATTGTGTTTGAAGACTCTTATTGTAGCACCAGATAAGCGCAATCCCAAAATTAGGGATGCATGATTTTTCTCATCACTCAGCACTAAACAACCCTGAGATATCAGACTGGGTAAATTGAGAGAATTTGTACCAAAACCCATTCCAAAAACTATAGAATCTTCCACACCCAAAAACTCTGCAGTCAACTTCTCCAATTCAACAACCAAAGGATGTGTTCCTATAAAACAAAAAAAACAAAAACATTTTCACAAATGATCTTTCAAATACGTGTTAATTGGAAAATTGACATGAAAAACAATATATACCAAACTCTTGCACAGGACTACATGATGCGCATCCGTACTCCTGAATCGCTTGTGCTGCACTTGATGCACATGGACCAGTTGCTTCAGCAAAACCCAGGTAGTTGTAAGACCCAAGATTTAAACATTTTGTGGTTGTACCAGTGAATCTACACAATACAGTAGCTTAGTAATGGGAGTATGTTAACACAACAAAACATTACATCAGAAGTAGATCTTACTGAAATGTCCATCCATAATCTGGTGTCATTCTATCTTTTAAAACCACTTCTGCTCCAGGTACACTACATATAGGCCTATTCCAGCAATCTCGCACCCTCCGGTAGACATATTGTAGATAAAAACTTTCAAATCTGTCATAAAGAGGGGCATAGCCCTATAAAAGAAATGAATGTTTAAAAAATGTTATCCAAATGTAGCTGAAATAACACCCCTTTAATAAATTCAGTACCTCCCGGTTTCTCTCCTTGGCAACTTTCGGTGTGAAGAACAAGCGATTTATATATCCAAGGAACATAAGCAAATAAAATCCAAGATATGTCATGATGGCAGTACAGAGAGGAACTTTTTCAAATGATTCTTTGGATCTTCGTTTCCTTTTTGTTGTTGAATTTGGTATTTCTTTTGCTTCCTATAACAACAAAAGCCGCAATCACATCTTGCAGTGTTTCTTTTTTCTTCAAATTTCCAAACAAATAAACACCAAAAGATTGAACGTCTTCTGAACTCATTTGAATTAGCCACCACTACTTTCAAACACCGATGAACATCAGTCATATGAAATACTTAAGAGTAGAAAATAAAAACTATTACTAAGAACAATTAATTAATAATAATATTATGGACATATTACGGAACCACAATAAGGCATTATCATTTATACGAACTATAATTTTATATATTTTTTACGAAATGCGTACTGTCAAACTCAAAACATTTATCATCACATTTGGAAATTAACATAAACAACGGTAAAATTGAAGTTTATCATACCTTAATTGTTCCATTTTGAAATATTTCGTGGTTAAATTTCCGTTGTTTGCCATTAAATTGTTTAGTTATGTGTATACCATTTCGTACTACACAATTCTTCCGCTCGATACCGTTCCCAGCCATATTTAAAATCACAGCGCCCACCAGCGCTATCAGTGGACGGATTACAAACGATGCAAGACGGAGCATGCGCTTCGTAGCCGCAAGACTGCGGAAAGAAGGACTGTCAATAAAATGATGCAAGAACAATAACTATCAGTTTATTTCATGATTAAGAATATAGAATTAGAACATCGGACTGTAATTCTAGAATTATAGAAAATACATTTTTTCAAATAGTTTCAGAAGGTTTCAAAATAATTTGAGGAAGTTTCAGAGAAAATTCAATGACGTACATGTGAAATTCAACTAATATTATTTAAATTATATGAGTGTATTTATCTAGAATTTCAATAATAGCACATTGTAATTGTATTACCAACTGTCCATTGCATTAATGTTTAATTTTCTTCACAATTAAAAAATATTAAGAACTTAAAAACTAGATGTGCGTGTAAGGCCCAGCAATATCTTCAGTGCATTTTTTGTACGGGCATGTTAGTGCATACGCACTCATGGGCCATTCGTTCATTAACAAGCACCAAGTAAATGAGAAAGCACGTTTGCTATAAACGTGAGAACAAACTAAGCGGACCTGATAATTGGTTCATTAGCATTTGCGCATGCTAAACACCATCGGAAGGTTTTTCGTGAACTACTGCTCTTGTTACTTAACTACTACTCTTGTCTAACTTAAACATTCTACAAGGGGGTGTTTAATTACGTACATGCAAATTGAAAGGTTCAAGTCAGTTTTGACAAATATTCAGATTTCCGAGGCTGCATTAGCCCAACCAAAATGCAAAAAAAATAAAGTAAGACTTGTTTTTTTTATTTCGTAGCATGAAAAGTGTACACATGAGCAACTACTATTCACAGTTCTTTGACCGCGCGTGCTTGAATGCATAAAGAGCAAGAAATACTCTATACTCGGGATTACCGCATGTAAATCTACCGGTCAACAATTAAAGACAAACAAATTTGTACTCAACGAACGGTTGTTATTATGGGAATAAATTTGAAACGACTTATTTAGTTTACAGACCTTTGGATGGGGCTCGGGATTACTCTACTTTACCATTATTTTTACATGAAACCTATTTTCATCATTGAAATCTTGCGTAAAATTAAAGGATAATTAAGAGGAATCTTTCACTTTACTTCGGCAACCGGACTTTCGACATTTTAGAGCAAACCTGTTTGCAATGATATAATTAAGTACACTATAAAATCAGTAAGACACTTTTACATATACTTTAATTACAACAAATATAACTTTAGTAACTTTAATTATATTTTGGAGCAGTGGTGCTGTTTTTGTTGCCTATCATTCTTACTGATTTTCGTAATCTAAGTCTGGAATTCATCAAGCACTGTTTTAAGCAACTACATTGTGAATAATCAAGAATCGAAGCAAACAAATGCATATTAACAGGATGCTATTAATGCAACGGAATTGCGATTTTTTACTCAACTTCTTTGCAACTTTTGATTCGTAGTGAAACAAATGCAGATTGGGTGAATCTGTACAAGCCACATAACTTTTATCCGGAAACTTACTTTCCAATTCTGAAATATGAGTACTACGTACACAAGCATTTTCGAAATTAACTTTGGGAGTTTTGGAATATTTTCAAGTTGAAAAATTACTTTTTTAAAATTCTATTGGCATCACATACTTTACAAGTAAATAAAAAGAAAATTACGCGAACACTTTGAACGTCATGCTCTATAATATTATTACCAATAAGATAGGGAGAGGCAAAAAATTATGAATGCTTGAAGCTAGGATAATTTTTAAATTTAATAATTCTCCGAAGAATTCTATTTCTTTAGTAATAATTCTTACACAGCTTGATTTGCGACCTGCGATCAAAGAAACTGTTATAACTTTGTTGATAATTTCTCCGTTTACTACAACATTCTGACTAATTGCAGGGAATTTTAAGGTTTCCTATTAGATGGAAGATCCTATTCTCTACGCACCACAGAATACCAAATTGTTTCCGTGTGTAACTGTTTATCGAGTTCAAGAAGGAAGGAAACTAATGTAACGAGAACAATGTGTCAATATTTGAAATTTTTCAGAGCTTTGGATTTTCACAGAATTCAGAACTAGTAAGGTACATTCATGGTATGGCAAGTTCAGTGGTGTAAATAAGATCTTTTAGAGAGGGGGAAAAGTAAATGAGAACAACGTGGATTCTACAGACGGACAAATCCTCAACTTAAGGGGCCGAAGCTCAAACTACGCAAATTCACGTTCTTTGGGCTGTGCGACCTTTCAATCTTTTCAGCAATCTACATTGAGGTAAGGACATTTCTTCCAAATGCAAATGAGAAATCAATTTCTGCAGTGGTTATGCTATTTAAAAAAAGGCGATGACCTGGTGGCCTACATCGACTCAAACAATCGATGGGTCGAAGGTCGAGACAAAGGAAACACGTGGGTAGGTTTACGTTTATTTCTTAACAGTAAAACCATGCTGAAAACACTTAACACTAAACCATGTATTTCGATCATGACTAAAACCAATATTCCAAATTTTTGAACAGAAGGGTTAAACTTATCTAGGAAGTTTCACATTTCAAAATGCTTACAGAGAACGTTAAGAGAATAAACACACACAAAACTTTATCAAATGAAGGTAAACATTTTTCATCATTGATTTATATGTCCAATCAAACTACCATTTGTTTAATTTTGGTCTTCGAATATTACCCTAATATAAAATGCTGAAATACATGATATCGATTCACGCGACAACGGAATTTTTTCTGGGGTTTGTAGACGAGAGGGAAAATTGCGAAACTATTCTTAATTGAACAGGAAATCGAGAATCCTTCACCAGACGAAACTAAATGCAAATTAAGAGGTTGTGATTATACGGGCCTTTCATTATACCACGTTAAATGTGAGAGAGACTTAAAAGGAAGTGTGAACCTCACAGTTTTCGTTAAAGTCAGGAGAAAAAAAATTGAAATTAAAACTGTGCACGTGGTAAAATAAAATTATCGAGTTATGCCGCAGCTCCTTGTGAATTCAATAATATACTTTCAATGATTCCAGTTTTGGAAAAGGCGGAATGCTCGATGGTGCCGCTTGGAGCGGTAATGGTAGCAGTCAGGGGCGTATTTAGCCGATAATTTGGAGGGGGGGGTCATATATTTATGTTAAATAATGATCGTCCCCCCTCGGTTCCGGCACTCGTAGCAATCAAAGATATGGATGCTAAAAATGAGAAAGTGAATTATGCTACTATATCTTTTGTCATAGTTTCTGTTGCGTTTTGAATATTTCTTTATATTTTTTATACGACAAATTTAGAAAGAGCCATTTTAATTTAACTTCAGCAAACAATATACAACAGAATCCGAGTCAATGACACTCATTTTGAATTGGGGTTTGAATTGGTGAATCATTTTTCATTGTCTGAATGTCGAATATTCCATTGTTTCGTTCCTTGAACGTAGATCTGAATCAAACACACAAAATTAACGCTCTTATACACGATTCCAGCGCTCTTAACGCACAAACTAGTATTTACGTCACAAAATTCATAAGATAACAGTTTTCGAAATTAAAAATCTTAAAATGCCCAAGCCAATACTCATCTTTTATAGTTACGTCATTGGCATACATTATCTTACATCACTCCAGAAACATAATGTGGCGTACTATAGATCAGGCATATGAAGTTCTAAATACTAAGACTGGAAATGAACGCTCATTTACTGTTTATGAACGGCAGGGAAACGCAGGGCGCACACGCAACAATCAATTGAAAACTTTGCACTCTAGCCATCTACATTACTAATTTTATAGTTTTTACTCCTTTAAAACCTGCAAATATATTTCTAAAACATAACAAGTCTTCGTATAAGACTAAGGACTGGCATCGTGATTTTACTCACAATTGCTTAAGAAATGGAGATCTTCCTCGTGTTTGCCCTGCAATGCCTTCCTGAACATCTAATGTCCTATATTTCAGCGTATCGTCGGCAGCTAAGAAATAAGAGAGCATGAGAGAATTTGTCCTAACATCCGAGGATTGTCAAAGAAACACATTACAGTTCTGTAAACTAAGTCATATTTTAAATGAAATATAACCCTACAAAAATGTATTTCAATTAAATAATAATGGTATTATGTCACGAAGTAAAATGTTAGGTTCCTATTAGGTGTTTCCTTTCCCTATTTTGTTTAAACACTATTTTTATAATTGACGCTGATGTTATTTAATATCGTTTCCATGTAGTCGCTAATTAACGGAGCTGTCGATGAGACTTAGAATAAATAATTAACGAACATTCGCCCTCCAAAGAATTTTTCGAGTGAATTTATTATTGTTTTTTCATTCAATATTTTGAAGGAATCTCTAATTAAACACCACCACCGATATATAGGTGGTGTTGTATTAACCCTCTGTGGCTAATTCGATTGTTTTCCCATTCAGTGGGAAAATCTGCCTTAGAGGCAGACATTACCAAAACACATCAATGTCAACTTTTAATGGAATTTAGAATATTTATTTTTTCCCACATGTTCTTACTAAAAAAGGCAATTCAAAGATTTGATTGTGAATTTTAATAACTAACAAAAAATTGTTTTCTTATCTTTTGGCCTAACCATTGTCAGTCTATCTATAGGTAATCAGAGTCAACCATTTTTAAGTAATTAATAGAACAAAAAAACATACAACTCTTGACAGAACATTATTTCAATAGTATGTAGAAACTAATGGAATAAATAAATAAATATGCTTGAGTGAGATTTTAAATCGTGCATCTACAGTAACTGCATGACAAGCTGATATAAAAACTTTCAACTGCAGGAACATTTGCCTGTTAGGCATCGCTCGTTTCAAAAAATAATAGTTTACATGGAAAGGTCGCACGTCACAACTGCAATGACCCTATCTCCTTGAAGATTCTAAGCGTGCAGAAGCACTTGAGGAGGGCGAAGACGCTGGGGTATTTAGAGCGCTCCCAGCGATAACAATAAAAACTGGCTGGCTGTCAGGCAGATGTTCCATAAGAGGGTTACGTTCAACCACTGTCAAGCAATACCGCAGATTTATAGTACCTATAAAATAAATATTATTCGTTCAAGAAAATGTTTTGAATGTATTTTTATTGTACGAGTGTTAAAATAAGTAAATACCGAATTTGCTTTTATTGCTCATAAACTTCATGAGCCAATTCTAAAAAAAAAATATTCTGTTATATTCTTTCATGCCAAAAAAAAATATTACGCTTGTTAATTGTTTCGTTAACAAAATATTTAGAATGAAGGTGAAGTTATAATTGCGTGCGGTATATTACGTGCACTCTTAATATATCGAACTCTAATTCGAGATTTCCAATCTCGTAACAGATTAGATTTGTGCGGTCTATAGGACTGGTAAAACTAATACATAGATAATTTAATGGCTTTAACCCAAAACATTATTCCCACAGAAACAAAAACAAAAGAGTAAACGTATTGATAACTTCATGGCCTGTAATTAGGTTGTAGGAAACAGAGGGTGGCTCCGGAATGAATCCAAGTACCAAGAACCTTTCGTCTCATACCCTACTTAAGATATTGGGCACAGAAATCAATCTAATGCGCGGTATTTGTTTCTCAATTCTAGTTTTGTGTAGATAATATTCAGATATGGTGTTTCTTCCTTGTACAAATTACAGCATCATCTTCAACTCTACTTAAGGAAAGAAGGTACCATGAAATGTGTCAAATTATAGATTTTAGTTTTTGGGCCCAATAAATAGCTCAAACCTTCCCTCTTTCCAAATATATCAACATTTTTCTTCTATGACGCCTGAAGTTCCTTCAATTCTTATTTAAAATTCTAGTGCGCATGAGCCACGCCCCCTTTTTTGACACTGTATGCAAATAAGAATTAATTTTTTCCCCGTAATTTTGAACGCTTGTTTGTTTAATAACGAGAAATTGAAACATACTTTTGATAGAATAATTGAGTAATCGTAGTTGGTAACTTTGGACTTTTTCGCTGAAAAAGATTCAGTATATGGTGCAAGAATGTTCTAGCAGAGCATTTTTCAAACTACGTTTGCCGAAAATGTACTTATTTTGTAATAAATGCACCTTTTCTCAGAAACTATTGTTTACAATTTATTATGATGTACAGGATACATTCATTATAGTATTGGCAATAAATTGATATTTATATATAATCATTATTCAATAAAAAAGTTTAAAAAGCAATGACCAAAAATTCTGAAAAAATATAGCAAAAGTTATATTTGAACAAATACGAATTGTGTTTTAATCAAATCAAAAAATATCAAAATAATAACAATGGCCGTTTCTTTACTTGTGCAAAATATAATAATTTTCTATTCAATTTCTATATGGGCGGTATACATGGTACCCTCTCCCTTAATAATAAATAATAACAATGTTCAGTTCTACACTTGCGACGGACAATGCCACAATACACCTTTCGATACACACCGTAATTTATTGACAATGAAGATGACATGGTAACATTCTGGAAACAGCAACAGTCATTGCTTCGTCTCGATTTCAATACAACGACAGTTGCGAGTTTCGTCTCACTGTGAAATGCATGGCCTTTAAGAGAGATGCGAGTTGAGTGCGATTGTACCCTTCTGACTAGGTAGATTCTATTGTCAAGGTTATCCATAATAGATTTTGATGTTTCATCCACATTTATTTAAAAAAAATAACAGTTTATGACAAAAAATATTTAGTGTCCTTAATTTTCGTCTTTCGGCGTTTCTTCGGAAACTCCTAATTGTGCTCGCAGTGAAATACAACAGGAGCATAAGCAAATCAAAATTAATCTTCACACACAATACTGCAAGGTAGGGGTACGCAAGGTAAGGGGACGCAAGGTAGAAGAACGCTTTTAGAAGGAAGTATTTTCTTCACAATTCACTAGCGAGAGATGCATTGGCATTGCAGGTCGACATCGAACGAATAAAATATTTAATCAGTCATGAATTTCATAACATTGGATTGCTCTGCGACTTCACTCCGTGTTGCGAATACCTCGAAGCAACTATTAAATTGAAAGCTGAAAATTTCAGTTAACATTATCACAGATGTTGAGTTTAGTGGCCAACTAACTTCCTGGATTTACGGTCTTCTTACTACTTCTATTACTTAACATTGTACAACCCTGCTATCCGAAGGCCGGGGTATGTGGGCTCCCGCAATTGTCGACAACTTGTCGGGTATCTTCCAGTTAAGCAGCAAATCCAGCTCCCTAGTTTACGCGCGTTTTACTATTAACGCAGTCCAGGCCTAACAGAATCCACATGAACGCTTGTCCTCGTGGGCAGACCAAGCACGTGCTTCGAGTAACTGCTACATAGAACTCCCCATAATTTTGAAAATAAATGTTTATATTAGTTCGTAAATATATAAAGTATTTTAATATTAATATTCTAAATTGCAAATGGTATAGTCTACGTTAATCTATCTTAATTTCGATCACGTACGTTAAATATTCAGTTCTATTAGGGAGGTTCCATAATTTAGTCATGCTTAGGGGTCTTTGAAATATTAACACGCCCTAGACTTGACTGAACATAGTTTTACGAATTTGCAAATACACACAGTTTGTAGTCAACTGTCAGTAGTCAAGTTATGCGGCAATCCAATACGCTGCAGGCTCAAATTTTAACAACACTGTCCAACCCACGTTCCACTCAAAGGGCTGTACCCGCATGTTCCACTGTTAAGCACAACACATCAAAATTGCACAAAAAGCTTGTGAGATTTTGGAAGAAAAATAATTTTCACCAATTGACACGATTTAAAAAGAGTTCGGCAAGTGAACTGGACGTTCAACTTCATAGATTTACGCTTATATTACTGCACTGTTCAATCTTTGTTCATTGCGATAACGGTGCCTGTATTAAACAGGCACCTTCACGTTGTGTTCCACCTTCCACAAAGAATTTCCGTGTCTTAGGAAGAAGTAACAATATCACCAATCGTACATGCACTTTTGAGAGTTTTGTCGAATTAAATAGAAATCGAATTTCGTCGATTTACGAGCGTTTTATCACAAACCCTGTTCAATCCTCATTATTATTCAAAACAGTCACCACTAATACAACCACTATCATGAACACCAATTGTAGTCAACTAAAAAGAGTTTCGGAGAATCGAGTGAAAATTCAATTTCACAGTTTTAGGCAGGGTTTAGTTTGTTTTTAGCGCTGTTCGATCTCAACACGATGAGCGCATCTCCACATGAGCGTACCTCTGTCTATGGAGAACGGCCGTGACGGGGGGTGGCGGTGTCGGCGGCGGAGCGGACGGGAGCGCGACGCGCGCGATGCGACGCGGGGGCCGTCTGGCGGGCAACTGAAGCGCGCGCGGGCGCTCGCGGCTGGCGGCAGGCGTCGGCGGCGGCGAGTGGGGAGCGGAGGAGGGGGCGTGGCAGGCAACAGAGGGCGAGGTGACGCGCCGGAGAGGGGCGTGGTGGCGGGCCTGAGCAAGATTTTGAACTCTCGCGCTCAGACCCCATCCACCGGAAACGTACGTAATGTTTGTTTTTTTCCCTCCTCCGGAGCTCTTAGGTTGCTCAGGGCATGACCTGGTGTTACTGCAGTGCCTCTAACCGGGTGGTCCAAGAGTTCGAGTTACGTTAGGATTTTCAACACTCGCTAGATAGATAGATAGATAGATAGATAGATAGGTCCAATTCAGCCGCTGTCTAAAGGGGAATTCTAGTGGGCGGCTGCTCTGATCGGAAGTTGTTTCGTGGTTTGTCGTATCAACGCCAGGCTAATGTAGGAGCAGTATTCTAAGAAATGAGCCACAGACCGCGCGCGATCTTTCCTTCTTCATCCTTGTCCTATCCTCACTCTTTTTTCACACCACCTACACTTAAATTCACGTTCCTATCACATGTCGGGAGCGTAGAGCTGTCCTGGCCGAATGGTGCCCCGCTGATGGGGGATACCTGGATAGGGAAAACTCTGCAAGTCGTGTAGGTCGGCGCCGGGTCTTGTCATACCGCGGAGGGAGAACATAGTCATAAAACTTGACCATGCTTACGGAACTAACGAATACAGCCGCTCAGGCATCTGGAAATACGAAATAATCAATTAATCCTCGGGGGCGTATCGTCTATTAATCCTTGCGTTACCCGAAGTGCAATGCGACAGGGAAAGTATTCAGTAGATTCGAAAAACGATGAACATTGCGCATTAAAAAATCCAAGTGCATAAACTATAATTTAACCCATTCAGTAAACTTATATTTGTAACAAAATGTTCCGGTAACGTGAAGTTTCCTGAATACATTAATAGCGGTAATACTAAATTAATATTTTTTTAAAAATCTTTCATAAACAAAATTTGCCCCCTCGGTAGAATTCTACGAAATGTGACCAACAGTTGGTGCTAGTAGATGTAAATGAGAAGTAACACATTAAAATAAGAACTATGACAATTTACTATAACAAAAAAATATAATAAAATTAACAATTGAAAGAAAAATTAACCCCAAAACAAAAAAGATGTAGTCGATTGGTGTAGTTTGGATGCTTTTTTATTTGTGTTAATTTATCTTTCTGAACATATATAAATTTCTTTTGACAATAATAAAACAATTTACATATTTCTGGAGTGTTGAAATGCTTCTGCAATGCGAATTTTTGCATATAAAGTATTTTATACAAACCAACTTTTGAGTGTTTATAGAGGCTCCGCCATTAGAAATATGCAAGAAGTTTATTGCTCAAAATATGCCAAAAATTGCCTTAAGAAATTATTTTCAAAGTATCGACATTCCCTCCCTGAACATCCTGTATACAATATAACAAATACTGATTAGTAAGCAATTTTTTTTTAAAATGGGAACATGTAAAGAAATAAAAAGCACAGAAACTAAACTATTGCATCAATTATGGGAACGTTATTGCTTAGTGTCTTTTTGCACTTTACTTCAATGAGCCACTTGTGTTTGATCCATTTCTTTTTTCTCACCAGATTCCCTCACTGAAAAATTCACTGAACCCAACACGACACTGAACTACAAGTACATTTCTTATTCTTAAAAGCAAATACTAGATAATATTCTTATCTAAGCTAAATTATATTCGAACTAACCTATTTCTAAACATTCTTAGAATGCGAGGAAAAATTTCAAAGACAGTCGAGGGTAAGCTGTTCCAATTCTTTATCGTCTGATTTAGAAAATAGTTTTTTGTTGTCTGTTCTCGGCTTCCTTCGTTCGATTTTGTAAGGATGATGATTTGTGTCAATGATGCCACGAGAGCGTCTCCGAAATGCTCGCACGTTGATCGCTGCAACAGCACACAGCAAAATGACAGAATATTCCCATTTCTGCCATCACCTAACTAGTAAAAGGAAAAGGCGTTTGCGGAACAAAATTCCACGCACATATGTAGTATTCTTTAGGCTTTTGAAGCGTGAAATTAATTAACACCGATTAATTATATCTAATTCCTTTCCCAAGGTTTCGTTAATATTCCAATCTCTTGAAAACGCTACTAATTGGGTATTTAAACAAGTATTTCCCTATAAATATTACGACTCAAACGATATCTGTCCATTTCTTACGGACTCAAGCCAGCCTCTCTCTGAAAAAAAAACTACTTTCACAGCAACCCATTATATTACTCAATTATTCGTTCCCTTATGAGATGATACACTCGCACCAAGTTCTATTTTAATTTGGTAAGAGATGTGCATGTTTGCTTGCATCTTCTAGAAATTGATAGTGCATAAAAATCCCATCTTTATACATCATGTTGATAACAAAAGGTCTATGTATTGATATATTTTGGAAAATTCAATGAAGCTGAAACAATTGGGGGCAAGGTAAGGCCCCATTAAGTTAGCCCGTAAGCACAGCCACCTATGGCAGTGCGCTCACACACATATGCCCCGGAAGTGTAAACGGAAGCAGGCAACGGCGGACCCGCTCGCGGCACGGCTGCCTTTCTCCAGGCCGGAACTCCCACTCATGGAGCACGTACTGTGCCAATCGTTATTCCGACCTTGGGGTCTGGTTTTCTATTTTTTTCCTTTGTGCCTTTACAGGTTATGCGAATGAGATCGATGACAAGAGGAAAGGGTATACAATTTTTTTTTTTGATACGTTGTTGCTTGTTATTGGCTTTCATACGGAGCATGATAATCACTGTATAACTTACATGGATCGAGATGATCGTGATTACGGGGGAAATATGAAAACAGATTAATGTTGCGACATGTTCTCTTAAGGAGGAAATTATGGGAGGGAAATATGAAATGACTTACCGAGTCGAGTTAACAACTAGTTAATTAGTAAATCAGAAAATATGAATAATTAAAATTAGGCAAAAAAAACCACGTTAACTGGTTCGATTGATCCCGGGCGAAAAACCCTTGGGTCAAAGGCCGTCGGGCTTTTTGTCGCCATTTGATCATTAGTACCATTGAAAAATAAAGAAAACAGAATTTTCGCCAATGAATAAGCCTATATAATTTTTTAATGATCGAATCACATTTTGTTCATTGCCCTGATGATTTTTTACTTTTTTGGTCGGTTAAATCTCGACTAAAAATTAATAAACGATATCACGATGTTTCCAAAAATCGATGTTCAAAATCGAAAACAACGAAGAATTTTTAAATGCTAGTTCAGTAACTTCTAATATTAAATTCGTGAGCAACAAAATGTAATTAATAGTGCTTATTAATTATAATTAATGAGCACTAAACAGAAAATCAAGTTAAAAAATGGAACAAATCAGACTGAAAGCCTGAGCGCCCACTGTCATCGCACAGGGTCAGGCTTCATTTCGCCGAATAAGAGTGTGGGCCCTCTACGTTCACAGCTTATACGTTGACCGACTCAGCATCAGCAAATGCGAAGAAAGACGTAGAAAATACCAGAGCATCTCGCTCAACTCGGGCGAAAGATTATTTCATATTTTAACTTTTGCATTATTGTGATTATGGGTTTCTTCATTCACACAAAAAAAAACAACAAAAAAAAAACATAAAAAATGTAAAAAAACATTGAGTACGAAACGTTGAATTCAATATTTCGATGATTCTACAAAAACATCGGGGTCGATTTGGCCCTCGCGATGGCATTTTCCGGACCACGATTCCATGCAGGCCTAGCTTTTGGCATGAATTAAAAAATCACTGCATGTCAGAGAATCGAGTCATAAAGAATTTTCCTAGTTTCGTATGAATTCGTCGAGAAATGTTGAACATCCGTTGTGGAAAAACTGGCGGAAACTCGTAATCTAAGAAGTAAAAACACAATATCGGGGGAAGGAAAATTAAATACATTTTTTCTGTGTGTGTGTGTGTGTGTGTGTGTGTGTGTGTGTATGTGAGGGGGGAGAAGAAGAATCCGTAAACACATCAATTTGAAGTGAAGACAAAATCTTACTATAAAGCCAATAGTGTGCATTTTGTCAAAGACAGTTTTTAATCAGCGATTTAATAAAACTTAGAATGTTACTGTTCAAATTATGCAAAGGAGTATTTATGTTTTGCTAAGAGGGGGAAATAAGAAACAACATCACAATGCAGTCAAACAGCTTTCTTGTATATTATTTTACAACGCTTCATCAGAGAATATTAAAGACATAAAGTCATTACAGGTGTTCGAATGGCAGATAAGAACTCCATAACTGTTTTATTTGAGATCACACTGAGAGTCTGAACCGAAAATATAATTAATTTTATTACAAAGATATTAATGACTGATTGATTTGTCCGGGAATAATTGCTATGGTCGTTAGTCCCGTGAATGTAGTGAATGCTTTTTATGCCTGGAGATGGCGATGTTCCTCCCTCGTTGAGATCCGGCGCTAACCTACATATCGGTTTTCGGAGGGGGAGTTTCCATGCAGGTATCTTCCCAGTGGGGCACTGCCCCAACCAGGACAAGGACTTCTAAGCTCCCGACATTTTTGGTCGTGCAGTATAGTGCATAGAAGTGTGTGTGCAAGAGGAGAGGATATAACCACTGATGAGGAAAAGATCGTGCGGTCCGAGGCCCGTTTTTAGATTTTAGGGTACTGCTCCGGCATTCGCCTGGTATTGATCGAAAACACTACTAGTAACTATTGATCGTAGCATCCGGTCGCTACAATTCTCCTGCAGACAGCGGCTGAATTTACCTAGTAATCTAGCTAGTAATGAAAATCCGCCACCGTTGAGACTCGAATGTTAGGCCCTAGGGCCTCAGAAACGCTGTGGAGATAAAGGCAATGTTGGCTCAAAAGCTCTGAGCTAAATTCAGCCGTTCACAGATATTAACGCATCTGTAAAACTGGCTATCTCGTGTTTTTTAATTGGGTTGTTATTAAAGCAGCAATCAAATATTGTGAAAC